TTAGTGGCTTTTTGATAGCTGTGATTTTCTCAAGACTTTTTCAAATTAAATAAAAATTTTAAAATAACTGTTTTTTTTTAATCTGAAAATTAGCAAATAAATACTTGGTCAATAAACAACTGAAATATGATTTTTTTGTTAATAACGTTTGTCTGTAAATGGGGAGTTTTAATAAAATTAATGGTTACCTGGGCCTCATTGTGGAGTGGGCATTGAATTCCCTGTAATGAGGCCCTGCCTTGCAGTGCAGTAAAATGTCACTAGATGGAAATCACCTAGCATTAGTGAGTTGACCTTTTCCCAATCCCATAATATGCTACTTTTCCAGTCTCTAAATGAAACTACATGAATTAGTGCAGGAGTTTTATTTTATTTTTTGTAATAAATTAATTTATCCTCACCCATCAAGGACTATGCATATTTGTTATTAATGCTCTCTTCACCTTTACAGATAGGTTATTTTTTGTAAAATAATTTTATTTTCCTTTGATAGGTATGCTGATGATAGGAATTACGAACACTCTGCATATGCTGCCTATGATAGGAGTCTATACGACAGACACTATGAACAACACCCAGCTGCATCATATTATGAAAATGAAGACATTGCAGCCGCTATGTACTATCCTGTTCATAGTCGCCGAAAATCTTACGGACGTACAGCGTATGCACAGCAACAGAAAAGGACTCCCAGTGCTTATAACGTGCAAGGATATTCTAAATTTAATAAATATGAGAACCGACGACGGACAGGAGAGTTAGATCAAAATGTGGAAACTAGGGGACGACGTAAGCATAAAAAAATGCATAAACAGTCGCATTGTAAAGGACTTTCAGGGTCTGGTTCGCGTTCTCAGTCACCATCAGCGTCGAGATCTCGATCGCCGTCTAAATCACATTCCCAGTCAAGATCTCGGAGTTGCAGTGAGTCACGAAGCCGTTCGCGGAGCTCTGATAGCAGTGTTTCTAGGAGTAGCAGTTGTTCGAGCAGAGACAGTGCCTCACGTCAGTCACCCAGGTGAGAACTCCCATCATTAATTAATTAATTAATAACTGTCTAGTTGTCTGCAGTTTGATTGAGGCATACATTATTATCATGATTCCTTTATTTGGCTAATTAACTGAAAATTAAAAAATAAACAAAAAAACCTACTACTGTGGAATACTTTATTTTCGCTGGAATTAATTTTTCGCTGAAAAGGCTTTTTGGGCGTTTTGCTTGGAATTTATTTTCACTAAGTTTTTGATGAGATTAATGTGAAATATAGGAAAAAAAGTATATTCGCTGGATTTTATTTTCACGGAATCATCCCTTCAGCGAAAATAAATTCCAAGCGAAAATAAAGTATTCTACAGTATTTCTCGCCTAAAGTTTTTACATCGCTATTTTTTATTTGCATATAGCTCTTCACATTAGTGTAAAAATTACAAGCACTCACAGAAATAGTTTGTATATACATTATGTACTGTCAAATATTTTAATTTTTAACTGGAACTAATTTTTGCTGATGATATTTCATGAAGTTTATTTTCACTTTTTTTGGCGAGTTGAATGTATATTATAGGGAGAAATTTTCACTGGATTTTATTTTCACTGATTCATCCTTGAGCGAAAATAAATACTAAGAGAAAATAAGAGTTTACTGTAGCTTAAGGCTAGAGTTGATAGTCTTTGAGATGTCTGATTGCCTGGCTAGATTTTGTATTAGTTAGTATCATATTTATTCTATGAGAAGTACATGTCTATTAGGCATAATGAAAAAAAATATGTGATTCCGATAACCCTACAATACCTCAAATTTAATGCCTACCCTTAACTTTTTTTCCCCAACTACGAAAAAATAGTGCATAAACACGCAATATTTCAATGAGACTTAAATAATTTGAAATAAGTTACTGTAATCTTCATCAAACATGTGTTTTTCAAACTACCAGTAATCAGCAAGCTAGTGTGTATGTGTGTGAAAAATTATGTCAAATGAAGAAGACGAACTGTAAATCTGACTCTACCCCACCTGCATGGGAATTTGACCTTGCGTAAGCTGTGTGTGCATTACCAATAGAGCCAGGAAGGTATATTTAGTCATGCCTAGCCATGGTGTTTCAATGTAACACCCTTCTTGTAAATGACACCAATGGTGTAGTTTTCAAGATGGTAATCATCATATTGATGTTGCACTGTAAACACCACAGCTTATACCACAACTAGTTCAGCTATTTATTAATCTGCATATTCAAAGTGAGAGACGACAACTAAAACTATGGCTGTTACTAATTCATATTGTGCAACAAAAGATCAAGTTGGTAACTACCAACAGAATTCAACTGAACTTAAGATTTCAAAATTATGTGTAATAATGACTCATTTTTATCGTCTTTTTGGTTGGTAGTCATAGCAATGTCCACAGTTATCATATCAATCAATATTTAGTTTCCAAATAGGAATTAGCTTTTGATTTATTTACTGATATAGTTGCATACTTGGTCAAATGAATCTCCTCCACTTTTTCAAAAGACCGAATACCCTCTAGTAGTCTCTATTCCTTGCAGGGTTGGTAATGCAAATGTTTATTTTATATGTTACAGTGGCAGTAGTCGGAGTAGCAGGGATAGTAGAAACACTGATTCTGGATGTAAGCGGTCTACGGCACTGTGTGTTAAAAACTTGCCGAGCAGGTCAACAGGTGAGTTGTTTATCATGAGCCAGTTAACTGGTCCTACAACTCTGGTATTCAGGCTAGAGGTTCTTTTTATTTTCATCTCTCTCAAACTGAATAAAGTCGACAGTAGTTATGTTATCACTCATCGATTCTGGCTAATTTCGTCGTGTCACAAACAATTAAAATGGGCTCATTTTTTATGCCTTTTGCTTAAATTCTTCAGTCTCTGGAATTGAAAGGAGCTTCCTTTCATAGCCAGAGCCCTTTGGTAGCCGACTTGAATATGTTAACCAACCGCAATAGCATTGCAGCCGTCGACGCAATTAAACACTTGCATACAATTCTACTGGAAGCTGAATTACACACACCAAGCTATACAATCTATCAATGGCCATTTAAATATAAAATCTAGTTCCCATGGCTACCAAAGTTGTAGAGCTAATTTTGCCTCAAGGTCTGTGAAAATGCTGTCAGTCAATCCAGTTTTAAAAGTAGAACCTGGTTTTTTTGTAGCTAATATTTTAAAATTTTACCTTTCTGCTGAATTGCCTTCACTTTTTAAATCGCTTACAACGTTGATAATTTTCTTTATTTTGTTTGATCAAAGTGATCTCTCTTTTACAGTAATTACTATAATTACTGAATGAATTTAATAAAGAAATTAAATTAGGTGTACCATATTTTCTCTATTAGTAATGCTTGCATAAATTAAAGGTATCTCTATGGTCAAAATAAATAATTGTGTTTTTTTTAATATGCATTTCCATTGGAGATTTGGCTCTAATAAAGCAAATATGGTAACTATAGAAATAAAAAAAGTGGGTCTGTGGCTAATATTGGTGGCCAAAGTTTTTTTCTTTGAAACCTCACATGGCAGTCTGTATGTAAACTATACTGACTATATAAATGCAATATCCTTTGTTGTGATTTAAGTATGACCTTGTATATTGTATTGCTTGCATTGAACTTTTTAAAATTGTAGGTGGTTGTGTCACAGTTGCTAGGATTGTTAGGAAACTCCATTGTTTGATTGTGTCAATGTGTAGCCAGCCAATTTGATGCTTGTCCAAAAATAAAAATGGAAACATGTTTGCACATGTACTTCCTGCAGTTGTTTTTGTAGGTTACTAGTATTGAATTTAGTGCTACTTGTGTGTGGTAATAAATTACTAGTGCTGTTCATACTTCACACCACACCACACCTGGATGATCATTGGAGTCACCCTGTTCGTTTGTTCCCCTTTTGTTTACTTCGATGTTTGCCCAGACATTCATTGTAACAAAAGAACTGTTCTAGTTTGCTAACTCCCCTCCTAGCAATGTGCAGTTTCAAGCTTTTTATCCAAACACACTGTAATTAATCCCGAATGTAACATGATCTGTTTTTTGTTCTTTTTAAGTTGCATTCCTGCCTGTATTAAGGTATTATTTGTGTTGAAAATTACGATTTTCACATTTATTTATTAATTGATGAAATGCACCATAAACTTTCATATGATAAAGTCAATATAACATAGAATGTCATGTAAGTTGGTTAAAATATAGATTTTCTGAAGGGAAGCAAGGCAGCCTCAGTAGTGTTTTCCAAAATCAACAACACAGGTTTAATCTGTGTGCCTATAAGTTTCAAAGATAAACTCAAGACAAAGCAATGTTAGGATGTGTTATCAGTAGCTATCTGACACACAATGAGTGTTTCCAAACATTTGAGTGGTTTGTCTCCGCCCCTGTTTGTTTCACAGATTAGTCATTTGCATATGAATGTGTCAGACATAAGGTCACACAGCCACTGAAAAAAAATCATTGATTTTGGTCTTTTCATATGCCGAATTTATCCAATTATAGCTATCCCATTCCTTTATTTTTTGGTTTCCAATAGCCTTACACATTTGGATGTCCTACACATGGTAAAACAGACCTTGATGGGAAAACAATTGATTGTGCTGATAACAAGCTTGAA